TCCAACCAGGTAGGTGTACTGTCGAGTGTGGTGTACGATGCTGTACAAACTGTCTATATCCAACCAGGTAGGTGTACTGTCGAGTGTGGTGTACGGTACTGTTCAAACTGTCTATATCCAACCAGGTAGGTTTACTGTCGAGTGTGGTGTACGGTGCTGTACAAACTGTCTATATCCAACCAGGTAGGTGTACTGTCGAGTGTGGTGTACGGTGCTGTACAAACTGTCTATATCCAACCAGGTAGGTGTACTGTCGAGTGTGGTGTACGGTGCTGTACAAACTGTCTATATCCAACCAGGTAGGTGTACTGTCGAGTGTGGTGTACGGTGCTGTACAAACTGTCTATATCCAACCAGGTAGGTGTACTGTCGAGTGTGGTGTACGGAGCTGTACAAACTGTCTGTATCCAACCAGGTGGGTGTACTGTCGAGTGTGGTGTACGGAGCTGTACAAACTGTCTGTATTCAACCAGGTAGGTGTACTGTCGAGTGTGGTGTACGGAGCTGTACAAACTGTCGAGTGTGGTGTACGGTGCTGTACAAACTGTCTATATCCAACCAGGTAGGTGTACTGTTGAGTGTGGTGTACGGAGCTGTACAAACTGTCTATATCCAATCAGGTAGGTGTACTGTCGAGTGTGGTGTACGGAGCTGTACAAACTGTCGAGTGTGGTGTACGGAGCTGTACAAACTGTCGAGTGTGGTGTATGGTGCTGTACAAACTGTCTATATCCAACCAGGTAGGTGTACTGTCGAGTGTGGTGTACGGAGCTGTACAAACTGTCTATATCCAACCAGGTAGGTGTACTGTAGAGTGTGTTGTACAGAGCTGTACAAGCTGTCTATATCCAACCAGGTAGGTGTACTGTCGAGTGTGTTGTTCGGAGGTGTACAAACTGTCTATATCCAACCAGGTGAGTGTACTGTCGAGTGTGGTGTACAGAGCTGTACAAACTGTCTATATCCAACCAGGTAGGTGTACTGTTGAGTGTGTTGTACGGAGCTGTACAAACTGTCTATATCCAACCAGGTAGGTGTACTGTCGAGTGTGGTGTACGGTGCTGTACAAACTGTCTGTATCCAACCAGGTAGGTGTACTGTCGAGTGTGTTGTACGGAGCTGTACAAACTGTCTATATCCAACCAGGTAGGTGTACTGTCGAGTGTGGTGTACGGTGCTGTACAAACTGTCTATATCCAACCAGGTAGGTGTACTGTCGAGTGTAGAGTGTGGTGTACGGTGCTGTACAAACTGTCTATATCCAACCAGGTAGGTGTACTGTCGAGTGTGGTGTATGGAGCTGTACAAACTGTCTATATCCAACCAGGTAGGTGTACTGTCGAGTGTGGTGTACGGAGCTGTACAAACTGTCGAGTGTGGTGTATGGTGCTGTACAAACTGTCTGTATCCAACCAGGTAGGTGTACTGTTGAGTGTGGTGTACGGAGCTGTACAAACTGTCTATATCCAACCAGGTAGGTGTACTGACGAGTGTGGTGTACGGAGCTGTACAAACTGTCGAGTGTGGTGTACGGAGCTGTACAAACTGTCGAGTGTGGTGTATGGTGCTGTACAAACTGTCTATATCCAACCAGGTAGGTGTACTGTCGAGTGTGGTGTACGGTGCTGTACAAACTGTCTATATCCAACTAAGTAGGTGTACTGTCGAGTGTGGTGTACGGAGCTGTACAAACTGTCTATATCCAACCAGGTAGGTGTACTGTCGAGTGTGGTATACGATGCTGTACAAACTGTCTATATCCAACCAGGTAGGTGTACTGTCGAGTGTGGTGTACGGTACTGTACAAACTGTCTGTATCCAACAAGGTAGGTGTACTGTCGAGTGTGTTGTATGGAGCTGTACAAACTGTCTATATCCAACCAGGTAGGTGTACTGTCGAGTGTGGTGTACGGTGCTGTACAAACTGTCTGTATCCAACCAGGTAGGTGTACTGTCGAGTGTGTTGTACGGAGCTGTACAAACTGTCTATATCCAACCAGGTAGGTGTACTGTGGAGTGTGGTGTACGGTGCTGTACAAACTGTCTATATCCAACCAGGTAGGTGTACTGTCGAGTGTGGTGTACGGTACTGTTCAAACTGTCTATATCCAACCAGGTAGGTGTACTGTCGAGTGTGGTGTACGGTGCTGTACAAACTGTCTATATCCAACCAGGTAGGTGTACTGTCGAGTGTGGTGTACGGTGCTGTACAAACTGTCTATATCCAACCAGGTAGGTGTACTGTCGAGTGTGGTGTACGGTGCTGTACAAACTGTCTATATCCAACCAGGTAGGTGTACTGTCGAGTGTGGTGTACGGTGCTGTACAAACTGTCTATATCCAACCAGGTAGGTGTACTGTCGAGTGTGGTGTACGGAGCTGTACAAACTGTCTGTATCCAACCAGGTGGGTGTACTGTCGAGTGTGGTGTACGGAGCTGTACAAACTGTCTGTATTCAACCAGGTAGGTGTACTGTCGAGTGTGGTGTACGGAGCTGTACAAACTGTCGAGTGTGGTGTATGGTGCTGTACAAACTGTCTATATCCAACCAGGTAGGTGTACTGTCGAGTGTGTTGTACGGAGCTGTACAAACTGTCTATATCCAACCAGGTAGGTGTACTGTCGAGTGTGGTGTACGGAGGTGTACAAACTGTCTATATCCAACCAGGTAGGTGTACTGTCGAGTGTGTTGTACGGAGCTGTACAAACTGTCTATATCCAACCAGGTAGGTGTACTGTCGAGTGTGGTGTACGGAGGTGTACAAACTGTCTATATCCAACCAGGTAGGTGTACTGTCGAGTGTAGAGTGTGGTGTACGGTGCTGTACAAACTGTCTATATCCAACCAGGTAGGTGTACTGTCGAGTGTGGTGTATGGTGCTGTACAAACTGTCTATATCCAACCAGGTAGGTGTACTGTCGAGTGTGGTGTACGGAGCTGTACAAACTGTCGAGTGTGGTGTATGGTGCTGTACAAACTGTCTGTATCCAACCAGGTAGGTGTACTGTTGAGTGTGGTGTACTGAGCTGTACAAACTGTCTATATCCAACCAGGTAGGTGTACTGTCGAGTGTGGTGTACGGAGCTGTACAAACTGTCGAGTGTGGTGTACGGAGCTGTAGAAACTGTCGAGTGTGGTGTATGGTGCTGTACAAACTGTCTATATCCAACCAGGTAGGTGTACTGTCGAGTGTGGTGTACGGTGCTGTACAAACTGTCTATATCCAACCAAGTAGGTGTACTGTCGAGTGTGGTGTACGGAGCTGTACAAACTGTCTATATCCAACCAGGTAGGTGTACTGTCGAGTATGGTGTACGATGCTGTACAAACTGTCTATATCCAACCAGGTAGGTGTACTGTCGAGTGTGGTGTACGATGCTGTACAAACTGTCTATATCCAACCAGGTAGGTGTACTGTCGAGTGTGGTGTACGGTACTGTTCAAACTGTCTATATCCAACCAGGTAGGTGTACTGTCGAGTGTGGTGTACGGTGCTGTACAAACTGTCTATATCCAACCAGGTAGGTGTACTGTCGAGTGTGGTGTACGGAGCTGTACAAACTGTCTGTATCCAACCAGGTGGGTGTACTGTCGAGTGTGGTGTACGGAGATGTACAAACTGTCTGTATTCAACCAGGTAGGTGTACTGTCGAGTGTGGTGTACGGAGCTGTACAAACTGTCGAGTGTGGTGTATGGTGCTGTACAAACTGTCTATATCCAACCAGGTAGGTGTACTGTCGAGTGTGTTGTACGGAGCTGTACAAACTGTCTATATCCAACCAGGTAGGTGTACTGTCGAGTGTGGTGTACGGAGGTGTACAAACTGTCTATATCCAACCAGGTAGGTGTACTGTCGAGTGTGGTGTACGGAGGTGTACAAACTGTCTATATCCAACCAGGTAGGTGTACTGTCGAGTGTGGTGTATGGTGCTGTACAAACTGTCTGTATCCAACCAGGTAGGTGTACCGTCACAGACTGTAGTTCCCCTGTACTTCTTGACTGAAATGGCTGACTATCATTGGGATCCATGTAAGGCTCAGTGCCATGGCTGACTGGGTGTCCTTGTACTCTGGATCAGTGCTCATGCCTTTAGTCACAGGCGCTTCTGCACCAGGGCTCTCTTCCACAAAGTGATCTTAGCTCTAAGTTGATTGTAACTCCAATTCTTTAACACAGACTTATGACAATCCTAGCACTGAGATCGCTTTGTGGAACGGGGCCCTGGTGCTTTAAGCACCTATTCTGATCTGCAACAGGGCAAGGTGTAGTCCAGCAGTTAAAGCACAGAGCTCCACATAAGCTGCGTATCTGCGCCAAAATAAGCATCAGAAATGCAGAAATATGCAGTAAAATAAAATCTAAGCATATCAAATACGCAACGAACATTACAGATACGCTATAAAAATAAAATTTGTGCGTATCATCAAAATATTGTTAAGTAACCCTGCGTATTCGATTAGCAAATCAGCAACTTATTTTGAAATTATAAACGGTCATTCTGTCAACCTTGCCAAACTCCACGATGACAGTTACATCATGATCATTTGCCATCACACTTTCTTGTGGAAGTATCGTGATATTTTTGAGTCCTATAAAGCTCTCTAACCACATGACACCAGTTTGCAGGGACTAGATGAATAGTGTTTATAAATATTTAACTTAAATACCCACATGTGTAAAAACTAGTGGGTAACAGAAATTTGAATACCCAGATAGAATTACTGATACCCAATGATTTTTAAATGCATGGGTAAAATACCAACAACACCAAAAGCTTATCTGGAGCTCTCGAAGGTTGCATGATTAGAAATCACAGCCGCTTGTCACATCCATGAGCGACGCTCTGATTGGTCAGATGACAGGTCTTTCTGACGTGACCCCTAATGGGATGTCCTCAGATCTTTGTTTAGCAGTAGCCAGAGCCAAGATCTAATTTTACTGAGATTGCAGTGTTACCAGCCTTGCCTTGTGGAGTACAGTAATGCTTCTACTTCAGTTTCGAGATGAGATGTTTTGGTTCCCTCACAACATGGACTTCCGTGGCCGGACCTACCCCTGTCCACCTCACTTGAACCACCTGGGTGAGTTGACCTTTGATCTTTGTTGAATCGAGGTGGCGATCGCGTTAGTATTTGAGTTGTTGCATTTTTATCCCCCTGGTGGTTGGGGGGTGGGAGATGGGGGGTGGGAGATGGGGGTTGGGGATTGGGGATATAGCAATCAGCATGGAGCAGAACTCCAAAACTGTTGAATATTTCTAGGTGAAACTTGCTATACAGATCAGCCTCGTGGTGACCTGGTGCCTTTTGATGATTTGGGATTTTGAAAAATACGGAACAGCATGAATTTTTACTTCACTGAACTGAGGGTATCCAGTGGCAATGAACCAAAAGTGGGGTATGAGTAGACAAACTCCATTTCGGAATTGCACCAGACCGGGATGAGATCTCATCTTCTGATGATTGTTGTTTAAAGTTTAACATATTTCTGGTAAGCAGAATGAAAAAAATAAGACTGTTTGTCATTTTGTCATTTTTTTCAACATTTCAAGTTTTGAGAGCTGGCAGATTTGAAAACCAAGTTTTAGAATAAGTCTGGCTTTAATCTATCCCAGTTGCATACCGGTAGGTTGATGCTCTTTGTCAATGTCTGGATTGTCTCATCATTTAGCTGGAATATTGATCAGTGCGGTGTTAAACAGCAAATAGAAAACAAGCTTGACATTTGTAGACTTTTCAAAAATGACATGGATGATAACTATATGTAGTTTGTTGCATTTAGCACTATTCCAGCTATATGACGGTGGTCCGTAAATAATCGAGTCTGGACCAGACAATCCAGTGATTAATATCATGATAATAGACATGCATCAACCCGATCCCGCTAGTCGCCTGTTATAACGAGCATAGTCCCCTTTAGGCAAGCATGGGTTGCTGAAGACCTATTCCACCCCAGATCTTCACGGCTCGCAATTTAATATGTCTGGTGTGTGAAAGGTCAACACCATCTGTAGCACCTATCATTGTGGGTCAGAAACATAGGCTTGTCATGTCTAATGCCCAGGGCCCTGTTCCACAAAGATACCTTAGCACTCTGATTGTCGTAAGTCTATGTTAAAGTATGGCAGTTACGATTGTCTTAGCGCTAAGATCACTTTGTGGAATGAGGGCCAGTTTGTTTCCACTCATGGGTACAATGTGTTAAGCCTGTGCTGTGATGATGTTGCTGGACTATTTCTAAAAGTGGCCCCAAACCACATTCACTGCTTTGTGATCATTTTCTATGAGAGTACTGTAATGTAATACAGGGAATATATTTCTGTCTGTTTCAGGGAGTGACGTAGCTCGGAGTATTCTGTTGTTTGCGAAGGGTAAACCCCTGGGTGACCACGGCTTGGACTGGTTGAAGATTCACCTCATCAACCTCACAGGCTTCAAGAAGAGGTACAGTGCCCCTCCAGTTCATGTTGTCATGGTATTTTGTAAACAGCTGTGATGTTTGTGTGTCACATGGTCTTATCACCAACACTTGATCCAGATGTTGAATGGAAAGAGAGAGGGTAAGATAAGGGACATAGGGAAACCTTATAGTAAAATAAGTACAGCTGGCAAGAGAAAAACCATGTGCAGCATGTGGACAACTGAAGTCATGGCATATAATATTGAACATCTTTTCACCACCTGCTCTAGTAGCTCAGTGGGAAGAAAGTGGGTTTCAAAACTAAACGTGACATGTTTGACATTTGATTCATGTCACGGAACTTTCATGTAGAAGTATCATGACTTTTAACCCCTCAAAAATAAACATTAAATGCATATTAAATGGATGTTTATAAATCCAATATTTATGAATGCTTGGTGATTTGACACTCTATAGTTAGGGTAGAAAGTCAAGGGGACTCTGCTCATGGGAAAGTGCCAATGAGAGGGATTCTAGCAAGTGAGTTTGCAGGCTTTGGACCATTTGAAGAAACCTTCAGAACAATAGGATGATGCCACCATTGGCTTATAACTAGGGGACCGCCTCTGTGGTCGGCTCAGAGTCAGTTAAACCCCATTTCACCTCACCTCACCTTATAACTAGGATTCTAAACTAAGTGCACTTACTGGGCAAATTGGGTGAGTGAGTGAGTGAGTTGGGTTTAAGGCCGCTTTTAACAGTATTTCAGTTATATCATGGCGTGTCAGCTTAATGTGGGAGGAAATTCTCAAGTGACTATTTACCACTTCGTTGAAACCCACAAGCACGGGTATGGTGCTGACAAACCTAGAAACATAATCGGGGCGAACCTTGATTCGATCCCACTATCACAGGTTCCTGGCGTTCCCAAGGGACGCAACTCTGCACAGCTAATCGCGGCGCCTTAGACGACTTGGACATCCGTGCCCCCCCCCTTAACTTAAGAGGTATTTTAACATTGTTCAATTTTGGAATTATTACTGGCATTAGACTCTGGGCGAAATATCGGCTCTGAGCAGGTCTAGAGAAAGCGTGGTAATGTTGGTGTATGTTGACTTCCAGATCCTCCAACAAAGACAGACTGGCTTATGCCAATGAAATGATGCCGGAGATCTTGGACTCTGCAGACAATCCAATGACGGTAAGTCACTTCATTGGAATAGAAATGTTGAGTGTGAGGGAAGTGTGTCAGTGAGTGGGTTAGGACACTGCTTTGAACACGATTTCCGTTATCCCATTGTGTGTCAGATTGTGGAGGGATGAGAGCCAAGGGTGGCAGGTTCTGGACCTGTTGTGTTTGTATGTGTGCATGTGTGGGTGCATGCTTGTGTGCGTGGGTGCGTGTATGCGTGTATAGAGGGGTGGGGGTGGTGGTAAGTGGGTGTGTTGTGTGGTGTGTAAGGGAAGTATATTATTTGAATACAATATATCTCTGTGTATGAGGCGAGTTTTTCATACCTAGACATAGGGGGGTTTAAATGGGGTTGCCTTATACACAAATAGAGTTTTGATATTTATTTGCCCCCCAAGCACAAAGACATTACCAAGAGCATGTAACCAGCTGGTAACACCAGAAAAAACGTGTCAACAAATCTGTACTGAAGTAAGCAAATTAATCATGTAATTACACAGTCTGGTTAAAGAAAGTGTTCATTGTAGCTGGACTAATGTTTGTAACCTATTTTATTGAATGACTATGTATTCAAAAGTTCAATCAATATTGTTTACATAAATTTTACGCGAAATTGTGTGTGAAGTATTTGATCATATTTGTTGGAGTTTGACTATTATATGTCAACATAGTTTTTGCGATCACGTTTCAGCTCAACAGTGATTGGTCAAATTGTCCCATACATAAAAAGTATTTGACAATAGCGGTCAGCTGTACCAAAGTGCTGCGGTTATGGTTATTTTATTTTAGATATATATACTAAAAATAACACTATATTGGAATATAATATTCCTGATACAATAATAGTTTCAGATACAATTATTAAGATAATTGCATCCAAATACCTTAGAGTCCACCTGACACCTGTCTGGCTTAGTTTATGAGACAATACACATGGTAATCTTAATCTCTGCTTAAAAAACAATGCCTAGTGATGTAGTGTCTCAAATTTCAAATTTATTTTTTGACCGCCTCCGTGGTCTATTGGTAGAGCGTCCGCCCGGAGAGCGGAAGGTCCGGGGTTCGATCCCCGACCGCGTCATACCAAAAGACGTTAAAAGATGGTACTTGTTGTTACCCTGTCTGGCGCTCGGCATTAAGGGGCTAAAACAAGGACTGGTCGGCTCGGAGTCAGTATACTGTGTCTGAGTGGGGTATTCATGTTAAACTGCGGCATGGTATCTCAGTGTGCTAGCACTATAAATCGGCATCAGTCCGGACTAGTACAAGCAGCCACACACACACACATACACGTGCATGCACGTCGCTATGTAAGTGCAATAATCTTGGATGCGATGTTAAACCCCATTTCACCACACCTCACCTCAAATTTTTTTGACCATGTTTGTTATCACCTTTTCGTTAGCTTGTATTTGCTGATAGGATATGATGTAATATTTTTTCTGCGCATAGGCCTACTTGAATTTTGTTTCTTCAAACCTATGTTTATTGCGCTGATGATGTGCTTCATTCCGGATCGGTATATTAATTAGCATAGATTTTGAAGGCTTTCACAGGGACGGGTCATTGAATTGTGTAGTGCTCCATGTACATTGCTCTGTGTACATTGTTGCAGGGGAACAAGTGGTGGCAGGGATCTGACGAGGGGTGGCAGACCCTGGCATGCTGCAAGGAGATCGCTAACATCGTCCGCTCGCCTGACCCCGCGCAGTACATCTGTCACCTGCCAGTGCATCAGGTAAGGGGAATGAAAATCTTGAACAAATAAAAAAAAAATCAAAATCTTTAACTAATCAAAAAAATACCAAAATCTTTAACAAATTAAAAGATATCAAAGTATGTATTTTTTCCCCATTTAGTTTAAAACTAGCAAAATCCCTGTGCCCAAGTTTTCTTTGACTACATGTGAGTGAGTGAGTGAGTGATTGAGTGAGTTGGGTTTAACACCGCTTTTAACAGTATTCCAGTTCTATCATGGCATGTCAGCTTTATGTGGGAGGAAAGCCTGAAGTGATGCAGATCTCAGACGTTTACCACTTCGGTGAAACCCACGAGCACGGGTATGGTGCTGACATACCTAGAAACATAATAGGGGCGAATCCCCATGTGGGTTCAATGTGTGAAGCCCATTTCTGGTTGTTCCCTGCCGTAATATTGCTTGAATGTTATTAGAAGCGGCGTAAAATCATACTCTCACTCACTCACTCACTCACTCACTCACTCACTCACTCACTCACTCACTCACTCACTCGATTCATCCACATGGGTACATTGTGGATGAATCGAGTGAGTGAGTGAGTTTGTGCCAATTTCTGGTTTCTCAGGCTGTCATGTGGTTGAAATATTGCAAATGGCGACATAATGTGCACTCACTCAAATCTCTTAGAATCAAATATTATCCTGGGGCGGTCGGGTAGCCTAGTGGTTAAAGCGTTCGCTCGTCACGCCGAAGACCCGGGTTCGAATACTGACATGGGCACAATGTGTAAAGCCCATTTCTGGTGTCCCCCGCCGTGATATTGCTGGAATATTGCTAAAAGCGGCGTAAAACCAAACTCACTCACTCACTGACTCAAATATTATCCTTTGAATATATTTTGAAGCAAATTCCAGCCAATGAACAGAGAGGTAATAATTTCTCTCTGTATATTGATAAAAGAATGTTTAAAGACTGAGTTCAATATTTTTGGTCTTTATGGAGGCCTAAGTGTAAAAACTGGTGTGCACACTGTGTAAACCCACGTTTTTAAGTTGATAAGTCTTAAAATGCCAAAAAATATACTGATGTCAATTCTTATGTTATATATTTTTAGCAATAATCACAGACTGTTGTTTTATTCATTAAGACAACAAAAACTGCAACAATACAACATTGGTGACATCATTAACACAACAGTGCGGCACAAGCTCCGCCCATTCTATTATCAGCCAATCAGGAAACAGAAGTCTGTTAGTAGGCATGGCCTTGTTTATGTTTTGGTGTATAGAAACATAAACACAGAAATAGTTACTTGGTTGGCCAATCAAATGCCATGGCATCACCTGCAGTGTATATATTTCAGGATGGTTCCTGTAACGGCCTGCAGCATTACGCCGCGCTCGGGCGTGACCAGTCGGGTGCGGAGTCTGTCAACCTGTGCCCCTTTGATGAGCCCCGGGATGTGTACAGCGATGTGGCTGAGCTGGTAGGGAATGATGACGGAGATAAACAGTCAGATTTGTGGGTGTAGGTGGCTATTTGATGCTTGGAAGACTTGGAAGATCCTTGGCATCAAATAATCAATCGGTTCCGCAAATCTGAAAGTACATGTTGGATAATGTTTATTGATGTAGGTGCAAAAGTTATTATTGAATATGTCCACAATTGTTTTGTGTTTAGTTGGAATGAAAGATGTATTTTGTGTGGCGGATGAGTTGATGTAGGTGATGTAGTCGGTGTAGTTGATGTTGAAGGTATTGGTGATGTAGTTGGTGTAGTTGGTGTAGTTGGTATAGGTGATGTTGAAGATGTGGGTGGTGTAGTTGATGTAGTTGATGTAGTTGGTATAGGTGATGTTGAAGATGTGGGTGGTGTAGGTGATGTTGAAGGTATTGGTGATGTAGTTGGTGTAGTTGATGTTGAAGATGTAGGTGATGTAGTTGATGTAGTTGGTATAGGTGATGTTGAAGATGTAGTTGGTGTAGTTGATGTAGTTGGTATAGGTGATGTTGAAGATGTGGGTGATGTAGTTGATGTAGTTGGTATAGGTGATGTTGAAGATGTAGTTGGTGTAGTTGATGTAGTTGGTATAGGTGATGTTGAAGATGTAGTTGGTGTAGTTGATGTGGGTGATGTAGTTGGTATAGGTGATGTTGAAGATGTGGGTGATGTAGTTGGTATAGGTGATGTAGTTGGTGTAGTTGATGTAGTTGGTATAGGTGATGTTGAAGATGTGGGTGATGTAGTTGGTATAGGTGATGTTGAAGATGTGGGTGGTGTAGTTGGTGTAGTTGATGTAGTTGGTATAGGTGATGATGAAGATGAAGGTGATGTAGTTGGTGTAGTTGATGTAGTTGATGTAGTTGATGTAGTTGGTATAGGTGATGTTGAAGATGTGGGTGATGTAGTTGGTATAGGTGATGTTGAAGATGTGGGTGGTGTAGTTGGTGTAGTTGATGTAGTTGGTATAGGTGATGTTGAAGATGTAGGTGATGTAGTTGGTGTAGTTGATGTAGTTGGTATAGGTGATGTTGAAGATGTAGTTGATGTAGTTGGTATAGGTGATGTTGAAGATGTGGGTGGTGTAGTTGGTGTAGTTGATGTAGTTGGTATAGGTGATGTTGAAGATGTAGTTGATGTAGTTGGTATAGGTGATGTTGAAGATGTGGGTGGTGTAGTTGGTGTAGTTGATGTAGTTGGTATAGGTGATGTTGAAGATGTAGTTGATGTAGTTGGTATAGGTGATGTTGAAGATGTGGGTGGTGTAGTTGGTGTAGTTGATGTAGTTGGTATAGGTGATGTTGAAGATGTGGGTGATGTAGTTGGTATAGGTGATGTAGTTGGTGTAGTTGATGTAGTTGGTATAGGTGATGTTGAAGATGTGGGTGATGTAGTTGGTATAGGTGATGTAGTTGGTGTAGTTGATGTAGTTGGTATAGGTGATGTTGAAGATGTGGGTGATGTAGTTGGTATAGGTGATGTTGAAGATGTGGGTGGTGTAGGTGATGATGAAGATGAAGGTGATGTAGTTGGTGTAGGTGATGATGAAGATGAAGGTGATGTAGTTGGTGTAGGTGATGTTGAAGATGTGGGTGATGTAGTTGGTATAGGTGATGTTGAAGATGTGGGTGATGTAGTTGGTGTAGGTGATGATGAAGATGAAGGTGATGTAGTTGGTGTAGGTGATGATGAAGATGTGGGTGATGTAGTTGGTGTAGGTGATGATGAAGATGAAGGTGATGTAGTTGGTGTAGGTGATGATGAAGATGAAGGTGATGTAGTTGGTGTAGGTGATGATGAAGATGAAGGTGATGTAGTTGGTGTAGTTGGTGTAGGTGATGATGAAGATGTGGGTGGTGTAGGTGATGATGAAGATGAAGGTGATGTAGTTGGTGTAGGTGATGTTGAAGATGTAGTTGGTGTAGTTGATGTAGTTGGTATAGGTGATGTTGAAGATGTAGTTGGTGTAGTTGATGTAGTTGGTATAGGTGATGTGATGAAGATGTAGTTGATGTAGTTGGTGTAGGTGATGTTGAAGATGTAGGTGATGTAGGTGATGTAGTTGATGTAGTTGGTATAGGTGATGTTGAAGATGTAGTTGGTGTAGTTGATGTAGTTGGTGTAGGTGATGTTGAAGATGTAGTTGGTGTAGTTGATGTAGTTGGTATAGGTGATGTTGAAGATGTAGTTGGTGTAGTTGATGTAGTTGGTATAGGTGATGTGATGAAGATGTAGTTGATGTAGTTGGTATAGGTGATGTTGAAGATGTGGGTGGTGTAGTTGATGTAGTTGGTATAGGTGATGTTGAAGATGAAGGTGATGTAGTTGGTGTAGTTGATGTAGTTGGTATAGGTGATGTTGAAGATGTAGTTGGTGTAGTTGATGTAGTTGGTATAGGTGATGTTGAAGATGTAGTTGGTGTAGTTGATGTAGTTGGTATAGGTGATGTTGAAGATGAAGGTGATGTAGTTGGTGTAGTTGATGTAGTTGGTGTAGTTGATGTGATGAAGATGTAGGTGATGTAGTAAGATGTGGGTGATGTAGTTGGTATAGGTGATGTAGTTGGTGTAGTTGATGTAGTTGGTATAGGTGATGTTGAAGATGTGGGTGATGTAGTTGGTATAGGTGATGTTGAAGATGTGGGTGGTGTAGGTGATGATGAAGATGAAGGTGATGTAGTTGGTGTAGGTGATGTTGAAGATGTAGTTGGTGTAGTTGATGTAGTTGGTGTAGGTGATGTTGAAGATGTAGGTGATGTTTGGTGGTACATGTTGCAGGTGGAGCAGGTGAGGCAGCGGGATGCCGCGGAGGGACACGAGATAGCCAAGTTGCTGGAGGGATTCGTCAGACGAAAGGTAGGTAGACATCAGTCAATATAAAACCCTGTCAGCAACATCCTTGTCTACTTGACTGGGTCTACAATGTGACAATGTTGTGTCTGCAGGTGCCCCCTTCAGTACTTGGTTGTACTTATTTCCAAACACTCTACTGCTTTAAAAAGAGATGATTAAGATGGATTGAGTTGTCCTTGTTTGACTTAACGTCATCACACCCTGATGGTGTGGGATGTTCATAATATCAACCACTGAACAAAACAAACAAACGAAAACCCACAAAATATGCAACTGTGAATTATAGTACCGTGTTTTTTCAAAGTATAATCGTTATAAATAGGGTAATTAATGTACGCTAACATTAGATTATTGACAGTGCTATCTTGTATATGTTTGTCGCCATCAACTACACGATACCTATGCAGAGTTAGTGAGTGAACCAGCAGACTGTCTTATTGACAAAGCTATACTGTATTGTCAGTATGTTTTCCAGTATCAATTCAAATTGTCACCCGGTTCGTCCTGATTATGTTTCTAGGTTTGTCAGCACCATACCCGTGCTCGTGGCTTTCACCGAAGTGGTAAACGTCTGAGACCTGCATCACTTCGGGCTTTCCTCCCACATTAAGCTGACACGCCGTGATATAACTTGAATACTGTTAAAAGCGGTGTTAAACCCAACTCACTCACTCACTCACTCACACTCAAATTGTCACATGAGCATGATGAAATGTGATTACAATTTGGAAAGTGCTGTGTTTAAACATGATGGTCATGTACCATGTGTTGCCCTGTCAGACTTGTTTGTTTGTTGTGTGACACCGCACTCAGCAATATTCCCGCTATATGAATATGGTCTGTAAATAATCGAGTCTGGACCAGGCAATCCAGTGATGACATCATGAGCATCAGTCTACACAATTCGGATACAATGACATGCATCAACCAAGTCAGCAAGCCTTTCATACTGTCTGACTGAAATGTGTGGAGTTACATAATGGTCATGTCCTATGTGTTGTCCGTGATGCAGGTCATCAAGCAGACCGTGATGACGACAGTGTATGGTGTCACCAAGTACGGCGCCAAGTACCAGATCCAGCGCAAACTAAAGGATATCCCAGAATTCCCCCAGGAGGAAGTGTGGAAAGCTAGTTCCTACCTAACCGAGAAGACCTTCCAGTGCCTTAGGGAAAAATTCACAGCAACAAGAGAAATCCAGGTGAACATTTTGTCTCCTTTATCATCGCAGTCAATTCAGGAACTCCTAATTTTATCAACGTTTGTGATCTAAAACGTCTTGAGGGTTTTCTAATTCCTATATCACAACATACAGGAGGAAAGGAATAAAAATAATAATCTGAAAATTAAAATAATTTACTTAACAGCTTTTATTTTAAATTTACCTCGAATCAACCCTGTAATACCTGGGAGATATTTTTTTAGATGTATAAAAAAATTATAAAAAAACACCACTGAATGAACTGGTTGAATAACATTTCTGATGTTGCCCCAACATATGCCTCTTTGTCCCTCCCCATCATACGTCTCCTCTTTGTCCCTCCCCATCATACGTCTCGTCGTCCCCCCCCCTCCATGTCGCCTCGTCCCTCCCCATCATGTCTCCTCGGCCCTTCCCATCATACGTCTCCTCGTCCCTCCCCATCATGTCTCCTCATCCCTCCCCATCATATGTCTCGTTGTCCCCCCCCTCCATGTCTCCTCGTCCCTCTCCATCATGTCTCCTTGTCCCTCCCCATCATTCGTCTCCTCGTCCCTCCCCATCATATGTCTCCTCGTCCCTCCCCATCATGTCTCCTCGTCCCTCCCCATCAGGTCTCCTCTTCCCTCCCCATCATGTCTCCTCTTCCCTCCCCATCATATGTCTCCTCTTCTCTCCCCATCATGTCTCCTCATCCCTCCCCATCATATGTCTCCTCGTCTCTTCCCATCATGTCTTCTCATCCCTTACCATCATTCATCTCCTCTTTGTCCCTCCCCTTCATGTCTCCCTGTCCCTCCCCTTCATGTCTCCTCGTCACTCCCCTTCATGTCTCCCTGTCCCTCCCCTTCATGTCTCCTCGTTCCTCCCCATCATGTCTCCTCTCTCCATACATCTCCTTGTCCCTCCCCATCATGTCTCCTCGTCCCTCCCCATCATTTGCTCCTTGTCCCTCCCCTTCATGTCTCCTCGTCCCTCCCCATCATGTCTCCCCGGCCGCGTCATTCCAAAGACGTTAAAAGACGGTACTTGTTGTTACCCTGTCTGGCGCTCAGCATTTAGGGGCTAAAACAAGGACTGGTCGGCTCAGAGTCAGTATACTGTGTCTGAGTGGGATATTCATGTTAAACTGCGGCATGGTATCTCAGTGAGCTAGCACTATAAATCGGCATCAGTCCGGACTAGTACAAGCAGCCACACAAACACACACACGTACATGCACGTCGCTATATAAGTGCAATAATCTTGGACGCGACGTTAAACCCCATTTAACCTCCTCACCACCTCAAGTCTCCTCGTCCCTCTCCATCATACGCCTCCTCGTCCCTCCCATTCATTTCTCCTCGTCTATTCCTTTCATGTCTCCTCGTCCCTCCCCTTCATGTCTCCTCTTCCCTTTCATGTCTCCTCGTACCTCCCCTTCATGTCTCCTCGACCCTCCCCATCATGCGTCTCCTCATCCCTCCCCTTTCTGTCTCCTTGTCCCTCCCCATCATACGTCTCCTCGTCCCTCCCCTTTATTTCTCCTCGTCCCTCCCCATCATGTCTCCTTGTCCCTCCCCATCATGCGGCTCCTCGTCCCTTCCCGTCATGAGTCTCCTCATCCCTACCCGTCATGAGTTTCCTCGTTGTCCCTCCCCATCATGAGTGTCGGCATTGTCCCTCCTTCTCATGCGCTTCCTTGTTTCCTAGGACTGGCTGACACTGAGTGCACAGCTCATCTCCACGATCCGCCACAAGCCGGTGGAGTGGGTCACCCCCATGGGTTTGTTGGTCATACAACCCTACCACAAACAACTGACCTTCAGCAGACTCGGCATGAACATCATTGACTCCTGCATCAATGAAAAGTAGGAACAACTTCACACACGATTGTTGTCCGTAGGGAAAGCAGTGATACAGACATGAGTCACTAGCTGGAAACATCTTAATCATTGAATGTTCAGCACCCCTGTGAAGGCCTGGGTTAGAATTGATCTTCAGCAACCAATACTTGTTGTAAGAGGCGACTAATGGAATCGGATGGTCAGGATCGCTGACTCAGTAGATGCATGTCATCGTATCCCAATTGCGTAGATCAATGCTCATGATATCAATCACTGGATTGTCAGATCCAGATTCAATTTTTTTAATATAACTGAGTGCAGCTTTAAACAGCAAACAAATGACAAACCCGTTAGTCGCCTTTTACGACAAGCTCAGTCGCCTTTTTCACCAAGCATGGGTTGCTGAAGACATATTCTACTTCAGATCTTCGCGGGTCTCATGACTAGGTCATCTATCAGCGAACCAAGATTCACCTTGTGTGTGCTTGAGATATTTTTTAAATTTTTCCACAGGTATGTAATAAAGAAAACATACAACTTTGTGGATAAGAACTTCTGCTTTTTTGTATTCAACAACTTTCCATTTTCACTCAAGCTTGATAAGAATCTACATTGTACGTTTTCTTATTTACTCACCAACTTCAAGAATGCCAATCAAACAGTTAGGTGTGAATGATTTCGATAATATGTACAATTAATGTTTCTGAAAACTTTTATGAACTATTTTTTTGCAGCAAACCCAATTCTGTGAAACAGAAAAATGCCTTCCCTCCAAACTTCATCCACTCTCTGGATTCCTCCCACATGATGCTGACGTCCCTGTACTGCTTGAGGTACGTGAACCTGTAGGCTGTCCCTGTACTGCTTGAGGTAGGTGAACCTGTAGACTGTCCCTGTACTGCTTGAGGTAGGTGAACCTGTAGACTGTCCCTGTACTGCTTGAGGTAGGTGAACCTGTAGACTGTCCCTGTACTGCTTGAGGTAGGTGAACCTGTAGACTGTATACACCATGATTTAGGTCACTGTACTGCTTGAGGTAGGTGAACCTGTAGACTGTCCCTGTACTGCTTGAGGTAGGTGAACCTGTAGACTGTCCCTGTACTGCTTGAGGTAGGTGAACCTGTAGACTGTATACACCATGATTTAGGTCACTGTACTGCTTGAGGTAGGTGAACCTGTAGACTGTCCCTGTACTGCTTGAGGTAGGTGAACCTGTAGACTGTCCCTGTACTGCTTGAGGTAGGTGAACCTGTAGACTGTCCCTGTACTGCTTGAGGTAGGTGAACCTGTAGACTGTCCCTGTACTGCTTGAGGTAGGTGAACCTGTAGACTGTATACACCATGATTTAGGTCACTGTACTGCTTGAGGTAGGTGAACCTGTAGACTGTCCCTGTACTGCTTGAGGTAGGTGAACCTGTAGACTGTCCCTGTACTGCTGGAGGTAGGTGAACCTGTAGACTGTATACACCATGATTTAGGTCACTGTACTGCTTGAGGTAGGTGAACCTGTAGACTGTCCCTGTACTGCTTGAGGTAGGTGAACCTGTAGACTGTCCCTGTCCTGCTGGAAGTAGGTGAACCTGTAGACTGTCCCTGTACTGCTTGAGGTAGGTGAACCTGTAGACTGTCCCTGTCCTGCTGGAAGTAGGTGAATCAGTAGACTGTCCCTGTCCTGCTTGAGGTAGGTGAACCTGTAGACTGTCTCTGTACTGTTTGAGGTAGGTGAACCTGTAGACTGTCTCTGTACTGTTTGAGGTAGGTGAACCTGTAGACTGTCCCTGTACTGCTGGAGGTAGGTGAACCTGTAGACTGTCCCTGTACTGCTTGAGGTAGGTGAACCTGTAGACTGCCCTGTACTGCTTGAGGTAGGTGAACCTGTAGACTGTCCCTGTACTGCTTGAGGTAGGTGAACCTGTAGACTGTATACACCGTGATATAGGTCCCTGTACTGCTTGAGGTAGGTGAACCTGTAGACTGTCCCTGTACTGCTGGAGGTAGGTGTACCTCTAGACTGTCCCTGTACTGCTGGAGGTAGGTGAACCTGTAGACTGTCCCTGTACTGCTTGAGGTAGGTGAACCTGTAGACTGTCCCTGTACTGCTGGAGGTAGGTGAACCTGTAGACTGTCCCTGTACTGCTTGAGGTAGGTGAACCTGTAGACTGTCCCTGTACTGCTTGAGGTAGGTGAACCTGTAGACTGTATACACCGTGATATAGGTCCCTGTACTGCTTGAGGTAGGTGAACCTGTAGACTTTCCCTGTACTGCTGGAGGTAGGTGTACCTGTAGACTGTCCCTGTACTGCTTGAGGTAGGTGAACCTGTAGACTGTCCCTGTACTGCTTGAGGTAGGTGAACCTGTAGACTGTCCCTGTACTGCTTGAGGTAGGTGAACCTGTAGACTGTCCCTGTACTGCTTGAGGTAGGTGAACCTGTAGACTGTCCCTGTACTGCTTGAGGTAGGTGTACCTGTAGACTGTCCCTGTACTACTTGAGGTAGGTGAACTTGAGACTGTCCCTGTACTGCTTGAGGTAGGTGAACCTGTAGACTGTATACACCGTGATATAGGTCCCTGTACTGCTTGAGGTAGGTGAACCTGTAGACTGTCCCTGTACTGCTTGAGGTAGGTGAATCTGTAGGCTGTCCCTGTACTGCTTGAGGTAGGTGAACCTGTAGACTGTCCCTGTACTGCTTGAGGTAGGTGAATCTGTAGACTGTCCCTGTACTGCTGGAGGTAGGTGAACCTGTAGACTGTCCCTGTACTGCTAAGTGCCCATGAGGACACTGAAGCATTAATTGCGGACAACCGAAGTAGCTGCTGTACTGTTTGAGGTGTTATTAATCCCTGCTGACTCTTTGACTGACTGCCTGTCTCTCTGTCGCAGGGCGGGCATCACCTACGTGTCGGTACACGACTGCTACTGGACTCATCCGGCTGATGTAGAGATCATGAATAAGGTGAGTCTTATTACAGTATGTGGCACACACAGGCTTGAACAGGCTTTCCATTTTCATACTTCATCTCGCCAGGGCTGATAAGCATATTGTTTGCCGTAAAAGTGTCTTAGATTTTGCATTTGTGATCAATCTTCAAGCGTTTCAGAGAAAGACAAACAACATATGTGAACCATCAGGTGAAAAGGGACCTTATGGCTGCTGGGATACAATTGTGTTGACGTCATAAAGACGTTTGACGTCAACTTACTTCAGTGAAGATAGCCACGTGTGATGTCATGTATCTCTGTAATGAATATGAATTAAAGCTTGTGAATTGTATTTTTGTGTTCCGAAGATTTTGTAGTTTTACAATATAATGAAAATTCAAAATGTGATTTTTCACCCATAAGGTCCCTTATCTCATGGTTGGTCGGACCGCCTCCGTGGTCTAGTGGTAGAGTGTCTGCCCAGAGAGGGGAAGGTCAAGGGTTTAATTCCCGGCCGCATCATACCAAAAGACGGTACTTGTTGCTACCCTGTCTGGCGCTCGGCATTAAGGGGCTAATACAAGGACTGGTAGGCTTGGAGTCTGTTTCTGACTGGGGTATTCATGTTAAACAGCGGCATGGTATCTCAGTGTGCTAGCACTATAAATCAGCATCAGTCCGGACTAGTACAAGCAGACATACACACACACACAAATGTGCATGCACGTCGCTATATAAGTGCAAAATATTGAATACAGCGTTAAACCAAATTTCACCTCACCTCATGGTTGGTCAGATATATCATATTTTTATTCTTTTATCAGCAAAGATAGACAAAAGTTTGAGTTAATTACATTAAGTAATACGTTACCACTGTTATACCGAGGCTGTTGTCTCCCACAACTGCTGCTATAGCGAAATCTACCACAGAGATCTCAATTACCTCATGCAGCACGTGCGTAGCCACCTAGCTGCCATGTGACACCCTTCACTCTTGTCTCCTTCGTCTGCTTAGCAAGACGTGTTTTCTCCTGCTGAAGCGTTCCTTGAAGATTTGGTGATATTTATTATAGTTTATTCTCTAATAAACTGTGCTTTTATGGGGCGTTGCGGTAGCTACGCTTGGTTATAATTTTCCCGCCCTTTTTTCTATATACTTGCGGGGTTCGCGTATGCACGTTGTGTTTTACGTTTCCCCTGTTCTTGTATGTTTTGGGGGTTAACATAACTTATTTCTTTAATAAAAGTTATATGTGTATGTTATATGTTCACATTGCTCGTTTATTTTCTTGTGAAAATGTTCGTTTGTGAATCATTGTGGTGCGTGCGTTGTAACCATGTTTTGTTCTTTGTTTATAGCAAACAATCAATGTCTGACATGGATATGTCCCCAGTATCCACCCCCTCTACCCCTGCTCCTCGGAGTTATGGGGTGTGCAGAAAGTTTTTGTCGTCCCGGGATCCCCACGATCGTTGCCCGCGGTGCAGGGTTCCTTGCGGGGACACCCGGTGCATCCTGTGCGAAGGTCTGGGGCCTGCGGATTTTGAGCGGTACCGGCTGTACGTACAGTCCGTCTCCACCCCTGTGGTGGCCGGTTCGTCCGGTCGGGGTCCCCGTGCGGGTACCACCTCCTCGGCTGCGGCGGATCCCCTTGCGGCCCTCGGGCTGTCTGGGGATTCCGTCGCCGCATTGTTGTCGAAACTTGTGGATTCCAAGCTGGCGGCCTTATCGCAAGATAGGCCGCTGGCTGTTCCGTCCCCGGCCTCTTCGGTGGCCGCGGGGTCGGACGCGGGGTCCACCGGTAAAGCGGCGGATCTCTTGGCGGCCCGTGTGCTGTCCGGGGATTCCGTCGCTGCATTACTTGCATAACTTGTGGACTCCAAGCTGGCGGCCTTATCTCAGGATAGGCCGCTGGCTGTTCCGTCCCCGGCCACTTCGGTGGCCGCGGGGTCGGACGCGGGGTCCACCGGTACGGCGGCGGCTCCCGTGGTCACCGGTCCTTCCCCCGAACCGTTGCTCCCGCTATCGGTTTAGGACCGCGTGGCCATGGTTTATGACCTCTTTGAGGACATGCCCCGGCCGGTACCGCGGGGAATCCACGACTGTGGGTTCCTCCGAGGTATACGATGAGTCTTCCGACACGGCTTTCCCCGCATCAACCTTGCTGCGCGGTTTCAAGCCTTCCTTGGAGAACGCCTTCGCGGCGGCCTCCGGTCGGGGTCTCCCGTTGCCTCCGACGTCGTGGAGAAAGGGTTTATTCCCGGTACATGACCTTGCCTTTCCCGAGGCTGGTCCTACCGCGGAGGCCCATGTTGAGCGGTTGGGTGTCCGTGCCCCACCGGCTGCTACGGTAACGCAAGCTACCTTGCACCAGCTGGACGCCCTCGCTCGGCACTCCATGTCTCACGGAGACACTTACTTGGCTGCAGCGGCCCGTCTGGTCGAAGGTTCTCCCACGGACCGTGACCAGCGCATTTACAACTGCCTGCTCAGTTTAAATGCTTCCCTGGAGTACGTTGCCGAGGACTCTCGGCACACACTTGCTCTTGTTGGGTCCCTGCATAGGCGCCTGGGTGCCGCTCCTAACCGGAGCGCGCCCCAGGCTGCTGCGGCCGGTAGGTCTAAGGGGTCGGGTTCTTCTTCCTCTGGGAAGTAGCCCCGCCCTGAGGGCTCCGGTATGGGCAATCAGCTGCCCTTTCGCGGGAAGACGGGGAACTGGGGGAAGCCCAAGTCGTCGACGGACGGCAAGGGCCCCTCCAGGTGACTCTCATTGGAGGGGTTCGTATGCCGACAGCGCCAACTTCGGTTGGCCCTTAGGCGAACCCGAGTCACTTGGCCCTGGACAGTTGCGCCTGTCGCAACCTGTCAGGGCCCCCTCTCCTTCCCCAGTGGGAGCCAGACTCCAGACTTACTGGGAGAATTGGGAACAAGTGTTCGACGACCCGTGGGTGGTCAACACGATTCGGTACGGCTATCGGCTTGATCTCAAAGCGAATCCGCCGCTCACCGTTGCCCCGTTGGCAGGTTTCGATTCGGAAACCGATCTTCCCATCCTCGCCGATGCCATCGGCAGGTTGGTGGAGAAGGGGCAGTACGGGAGTTAGCTCTACTAGAAATAACACCGGGGTTTTACTCCAGGATATTTCTCGTTCCCAAGTAGGACAGTGCCGAACTCAGAATGATTCACACGTCCGCTCCCTGGCTGTTCACCCGGTTAACCACCCCCATAGTGGGGTTCCTCCACAGGAGGGGTGTCCGGTACTTCGCGTACCTGGACGACTCGCTAGTAGCAAATCGAATGACGGACACCCTGTCACGCCATCTCGATTTCGCACGTCGGCTCTTGGAGCAATTTGGGTGGATTATCAATCTCCCCAAGAGCGAGTTAACCCCTTCTCAGAACTTGCTGTTCATCGGAGGTCGGTTCAACACGGTGTCCCATCGCCTCTTTGTCCCCCCAGACCGGTGGCACAAAATTCAGGCGATGATTGCCAAAGTCTTAGCGGTGCAACAGACTGTTCACTTTTGGGAACAGCTGTTAGGGCTACTTGTATCAGCCCAGGACTGCACCGCACGGGGTCGTCTCCAACTCCGCCCGCTGCAACGGTTTTTAATCCAGTTGTTAGCAACGGAGGTGAACAGTGCGACCGTCGCCCTCCCGGATCGGCTCCGACCGCATCTGGAGTGGTGGACGGTCCCTTACATTGTCTTATCAGGAGTCTCTATGCGGCCCTACCGGGCCACGTTGACCCTGTATACAGACGCCTCTCTAGTGGGCTGGGGCGCCCATCTAGAGGGGGAGGTGAGCTCGGGGCTGTGGTGCTTAGACGAACTAGGTCTTCACATCACTTGTCTCGAGTTCAAGGCAGTGATCAACGCAGTCAATCACTGGAAGCATCGTCTCGTCGACGCCCGGCTCATGCTGGCGACCGACAACACGACGGTAGTGTCCTATGTGAACAAACTGGGGGGAACCCACAGTCACTGGCTACTCGATCTCACGTTCGAGTTTTACGCTCTGGTGGACAGTGTCCCGTGCCAGATACGCGCCCGTCACATCCCAGGTGTGCGGAACGTACTGGCCGATGCTCTATCGAGGCCTCAGGATCCGAGCCCCACAGAGTGGATGCTGAACCCAGTAGTGTTTCAGTGGCTGTGCGAACGTTTGGGTCGTCCGAAGGTCGACCTGTTCGCAACGCGGTTCAACAATCAACTCCCGTTGTTTGTATCACCAGTCCCGGTCCCGAGGGCCATCGATCACGATGCTCTCGCGTTAGACTGGACGGGCTTGGTCGCTTATGCTTACCCGCCGACAGCGTTGATACCACACATTCTAAGCCGGCTCCGAGGAGTTCGCTGTCGAATGTTACTGATCGCGCCCATGTGGCCGAACAGATCGTGGTACCCCGACTTGCTGACCCAGGTCACGCAGTCGCCACTTCCACTGCCTGTGAGACCGGATCTCTTGATCCACCCTCACAGCCGTCAGCTTCATCCAAACGCAGGGCAGTTCAATCTGCACGCGTGGATGTTGTCACCGAGCGTCTGAGGAGTAAAGTTTTTTCTCGCCGGGCGTCTCGGGCATACGTTAGTATGCATCGTGATTCTACCCAGAAGGTGTATAATGCACGTTGGGTTATTTTCACGAAGTGGTGTTGTAAACATCACATTCATTCGCCAGATAAGGTATCTGTGCAGGATATTGCTCGTTTCATGTCTCACTTGCGAGAGACCCGGAAACTCTCCGGGGGTTCCATTGCCAACTATGTCTCGTCCGTTGCTACGGTACGGGACGTTGCTATGGGTACCAGTCTCTCCAAAGAGCCGGTGATACGGGGTATTATCAAGGGTTTCAAACAGCACGATCTTAAGAAGGGCCGCCTTCGGGCACCGGCCTGGGATCTTTGGCTAGTGTTGCAATCACTTACGGAAGCTCCGTATGAACCCTTGCATAGTGCTTCGTTCCGGCATGTGACTTGGAAAACAGCATTTCTCCTCTCCTTTGCCACGGCGGCACGTGTATCCGAAATTCATGCACTCGATGTCGCCAAGGTACGATTCGATAGGGGTGACGAAGGAGCGGTCCGCCTGGGCCTGCTCATGGGCTTCGTCGCCAAGAATCAGAGAGTCGGGCAAACGGAGAGAGAATTCACTGTAAGATCACTCAAAGAAATCTTACATCCTGCTGATACTGAGGACAGAGCGCTGTGTCCGGTTAGGGCCCTTAAGTATTATCTTAAGGCTTCGAATGAACGTAGACAAGGGCGTGACCGTCTGTTCATATCGTGTAACCCTAATCGCACGGTTGACATACCTCGCAACTCGATTGCGTTGTGGCTTCGTTCTGTCATCAATCTGGCGTACCGGTCTCGGGGGTTACCGGTAGCGGGGTCAAACCCGCACGAGATCAGGGCGCTAGCGGCAACATTTGCCCTACACTCGAATATCTCTGTTCGCAGAATATTACGAGGTTGTTACTGGCGTTCTGACTCGGTTTTTGCCAATCATTACCTCAAACAGGTCGCTGATGCCGTCGTGGAGAGTGTGCACCGTCTTGGCCCGCGGATCGCGGCGCAAGCGGGCACCTAAGGGGTGTGCCCAGCGCAATTCCGAACTCCTCAGGCGTCTGACCTTGCACGGTGGTCAATCTGGGTCTACTCCAATGTTCCCACTGCCGTGGGTACAGGAGTTGGGGTCCCGCAAACCAGCGCACTCACACCACAGGTGAGGGCGGCTTTTTGTGTGCTTTGTCCTTATTTGTATTTTGACAATTATGTCTTTAATTGTCTGTCGTGTATCCCAACCTTGTGATGCATGCTTACAAATACTGGAATTAGGTCACGCGCCTAATGCATACTTTAAGTAGGCTTGCTCTGGGATATACGGTCTGAATGAAATTAATTTCCCTCTTTTCGACTGTTTAACCTGATCTAAGATTAAGCTCACGCGGATACAGTGTTCTCATCCGCTGCGGCGATGAAATACCTATCCAGTGGGGCCGTTTGGAGTCACCAATCGTTTTGGCAATGACGATTGAGCCTTACGGTATGCGCTTGACAGTGCTTTGGTATTCCTATAGGGTAACGCCTAGCTAGGTGCATGCGCATCGAGTGCTTCCGCCTTGGTGTTTACTTCCGCTGGTCGGAAGGAACGCTAGCAGTCAGGATTCGGGTTGTAGGTGCTCCCCACCGCCTACTGTGGTAGTCAGCCTCGGTATAACAGTGGTAACGTATTACTTAATGTAATTTGTAGAATTTTCCTATTCGGAATATTCTATAAGTAATACGTTACCACTGGGCTGCTGCCCGCCCGTCCGTCCCCCGAGCACTTGCTCTCGCAGGAGACAAGAGTGAAGGGTGTCACATGGCAGCTAGGTGGCTACGCACGTGCTGCATGAGGTAATTGAGATCTCTGTGGTAGATTTCGCTATAGCAGCAGTTGTGGGAGACAACAGCCTCGGTATAACAGTGGTAACGTATTACTTATAGAATATTCCGAATAGGAAAATTCTACAATTTTCCTACTGTGAAGATGTTCTGATGCCTGAGCTATGTAGTTGAGTTGCTTATGGTGCTTATCAACCCAGCTTTTATGAATTCACTGATGCTTGACTGTTCAGATATGCAGAGAGCAGTTTGTGGCACTTCATGAACAGCCTGTCCTTGAGGATCTGTGTCAGTATCTCCTCCAGATGTTCAGCAGGTGAGTACCGGTACCCTTACCACCTGTGTCAGTATCTCCTCCACATGTTCAGCAGGTGAGTACCGGTACCTTTACCACCTGTGTCAGTATCTTCTCCAGATGTTCAGCAGGTGAGTACCGGTACCTTTACCACCTGTGTCAGTATCTCTTCCACATGTTCAGCAGGTGAGTACCGGTACCTTTACCACCTGTGTCAGTATCTCCTCCAGATGTTCAGCAGGTGAGTACCGGTACCTTTACCACCTGTGTCAGTATCTCCTCCACATGTTCAGCAGGTGAGTACGGATACCTTTACCACCTGTGTCAGTATCTCCTCCAGATGTTCAGCAGGTGAGTACCGGTACCTTTACCACCTGTGTCAGTATCTCCTTCACATGTTCAGCAGGTGAGTACAGATACCTTTACCTCCTGTGTCAGTATCTCCTCCAGATGTTCAGCAGGTGAGTACCGGTACCTTTACCACCTGTGTCAGTATCTCCTCCACATGTTCAGCAGGAGAGTACCGGTAACTTTATCACCTGTGTCAGTATCTCCTCCACATGTTCAACAGGTGAGTACCGGTAACTTTATCACCTGTGTCAGTATCTCCTCCACATGTTCAGCAGGTGAGTACGGATACCTTTACCACCTGTGTCAGTATCTCCTCCAGATCTTCAGCAGGTGAGTACCGGTACCTTTACCACCTGTGTCAGTATCTCCTCCACATGTTCAGCAGGTGAGTACCCGTACCCTTACCACCTGTGTCAGTATCTCCTCCAGATGTTCAGCAGGTGAGTACTGGTACCTTTACCACCTGCGTCAGTATCTCCTCCACATGCTCAGCAGGTGAGTACCGGTACCTTTACCACCTGTGTCAGTATCTCCTCCACATGTTCAGCAGGTGAGTACTGCTACCTTTACCACCTGTGTCAGTATCTCCTCCAGATGTTCAGCAGGTGAGTACTGGTACCTTCACCACCTGTGTCAGTATATCCTCCACATGCTCAGCAGGTGAGTACCGGTACCTTTACCAGCTGTGTCAGTATCTCCTCCACATGCTCAGCAGGTGAGTACCGGTAACTATATCACCTGTGTCAGTATCTCCTCCACATGTTCAGCAGGTGAGTACCGGTACCTTTACCACCTGTGTCAGTATCTCCTCCACATGTTCAGCAGGTGAGTACCGGTACCTTTACCACCTGTGTCAGTATCTCCTCCAGATGTTCAGCAGGTGAGTACTGCTACCTTTACCACCTGTGTCAGTATCTCCTCCACATGTTCAGCAGGTGAGTACCGGTACCTTTACCACCTGTGTCAGTATCTCCTCCAGATGTTCAGCAGGTGAGTACTGGTACCTTTTCCACCTGTGTCAGTATCTCCTCCACATGCTCAGCAGGTGAGTACTGGTACCTTTTCCACCTGTGTCAGTATCTCCTCCACATGCTCAGCAGGTGAGTACCGGTACCTTTACCACCTGTGTCAGTATCTCCTCCATACGTTCAGCAGGTGAGTACCGGTACCTTTACCACCTGTGTCAGTATCTCCTCCACATGTTCAGCAGGTGAGTACCGGTACCTTTACCACCTGTGTCAGTATCTCCTCCAGATGTTCAGCAGGTGAGTACTGGTACCTTTACCACCTGTGTCAGTATCTCCTCCAGATGTTCAGCAGGTGAGTACCGGTACCTTTACCACCTGTGTCAGTATCTCCTCCAGATGTTCAGCAGGTGAGTACTGCTACCTTTACCACCTGTGTCAGTATCTCCTCCAGATGTTCAGCAGGTGAGTACCGGTACCTTCACCACCTGTGTCAGTATCTCCTCCAGATGTTCAGCAGGTGAGTACCGGTACCTTCACCACCTGTGTCAGTATCTCCTCCACATGTTCAGCAGGTGAGTACCGGTACCTTTACCACCTGTGTCAGTATCTCCTCCAGATGTTCAGCAGGTGAGTACCGGTACCTTTACCACCTGTGTCAGTATCTCCTCCAGATGTTCAGCAGGTGAGTACTGGTACCTTTACCACCTGTGTCAGTATCTCCTCCAGATGTTCAGCAGGTGTGTACCGGTACCTTTACCACCTGTGTCAGTATCTCCTCCAGATGTTCAGCAGGTGAGTACCGGTACCTTTACCACCTGTGTCAGTATCTCCTCCACATGCTCAGCAGGTGAGTACCGGTACCTTTACCACCTGTGTCAGTATCCCCTCCACATGTTCAGCAGGTGAGTACCGGTACCTTTACCACCTGTGTCAGTATCTCCTTCACATGTTCAGCAGGTGAGTACCGGTACCTTTACCACCTGTGTCAGTATCTCCTCCACATGTTCAGCAGGTGAGTACCGGTACCTTTACCACCTGTGTCAGTATCTCCTCCACATGTTCAGCAGGTGAGTACCGGTACCTTTACCACCTGTGTCAGTATCTCCTCCACATGTTCAGCAGGTGAGTACCGGTACCTTTACCATCTGTGTCAGTATCTCCTCCACACGTTCAGCAGGTGAGTACCGGTACCTTTACCACCTGTGTCAGCATCTCCTCCACATGTTCTGCAGGTGAGTACCGGTACCTTTACCACCTGTGTCAGTATCTCCTCCAGATGTTCAGCAGGTGAGCACCGGTACCTTTACCACCTGTGTCAGTATCTCCTCCACATGTTCAGCAGGTGAGTACCGGTACCTTTACCACCTGTGTCAGTATCCCCTCCAGATGTTCAGCAGGTGAGTACCGGTACCTTTACCACCTGTGTCAGTATCTCCTCCACATGTTCAGCAGGTGAGTACCGGTACCTTTACCACCTGTGTCAGTATCCCCTCCAGATGTTCAGCAGGTGAGTACCGGTACCTTTACCACCTGTGTCAGTATCTCCTCCAGATGTTCAGCAGGTGAGTACTGGTACCTTGACCACCTGTGTCAGTATCTCCTCCAGATGTTCAGCAGGTGAGTACCGGTACCTTTACCACCTGTGTCAGCATCTCCTCCACATGTTCTGCAGGTGAGTACCGGTACCTTTACCACCTGTGTCAGTATCTCCTCCACATGTTCAGCAGGTGAGTACTGGTACCTTTACCACCTGTGTCAGTATCTCATCCAGATGTTCAGCAGGTGAGTACCGGTACCTTTACCACCTGTGACAGTATCTCCTCCAGATGTTCAGCAGGTGAGTACCGGTACCTTTACCACCTGTGTCAGTATCCCCTCCACATGTTCAGCAGGTGAGTACCGGTACCTTTACCACCTGTGGCAACACGTCCGCCCAGGCCTCAAAGTTTAAATTTTTACTAAGTAGCCATATGGCCACAAGTATTGTTTTCCAGGTAGCCAGTGGTAAAATCAAGAAGTCAAGTCAGTGTTGTAGGTAGCCAAAAGCATTTGAAACTATTTTTTATCAAATAACTATTATAATATATATACAAGGCATAGCACTAGTCTTGGAACTGTACTTGAGTTTTGTTATTTGTGACTCAAACAATGATGCAATTTATGTTACATGATTACATAGGTTTTTTTCCTTGCTTATCCAATAAATTATCAACTAAAATAAAATACTAATTACATTACCGTATTCGACGTGATAAGCGCCCAGGGCGCTCTCAAAATTAGAAATAGGGGGCTCTTATTAGAACATTATTTTGAGTTGAAAGATCGGTAATATTTATGTATTTCGGTTCATTGTTGACTTTAGGAGGAATTATTTGTGAGGACAGTGAGCAGCACACATGTTGTGTTTACCTATGTGAAGCAATAGAATTTAGTTGCCACAATATACTTTTCAAGGCAGTCATTTGGCTACCTATGAATTTAAGACAGTAGACTAATTGAAATTTAGGTTGCATTTAGTCGCAACTTTGAGGCCTGTTCCCAGATGGACACCTGGACAAACTGACAGTATGAAGTCTTTGACAGCCATTTAGAAGTATATATGACTACATGTATACATGACACTTTTTTATGGATAGGAACTTCTTTTATTTTCTTGCTCCTTCACTAGGTGAATGCCTAGTGAGTACAAAGGATACTGTATATAAATATATTAATCAAGATGTTTATACAACACAAGCTGGGATGAATGTAGAATGCCAAAGCCAGTGACATAGTATTAATGTTCAAAGATAACAATTTAATGACAAAGCCAATGGGATAGCATTAATGTACAAAAATCACAATATTATGTCGAAGCCGATGGGATAGCATTAATGTACAAAAATAACAGTATAATATCACAGCCGATGGGATAAGATTAAGATAACATTAAAACGACGAAGCTGATGAGATAGCATTAATGTACAAAAATAACAGTATAATATCGCAGCCGGTGGGATAGGATTAAGATAACATTATAATGACGAAGCTGATTGGATAGCATTAATGTACAAAAATAACAGTATAATATCACAGCCGGTGGGATAGGATTCAGATAACAGTATAATATCACAGCCGATGTGATAGGATTCAGATAAGATTATAATGACGAAGCTGATGGGATAGCATTAATGTACAAAAATAACAGTATAATATCACAGCCGATGTGATAGGATTAAGATAACATTATAATGACGAAGCTGATGGGATAGCATTAATGTACAAAAATAACAGTATAATATCACAGCCGGTGGGATAGGATTAAGATAACATTATAATGACGAAGCTGATGGGATAGCATTAATGTACAAAAATAACAGTATAATATCACAGCCGATGTGATAGGATTAAGATAACATTATAATGACGAAGCTGATGGGATAGCATTAATGTACAAAAATAACAGTATAATATCACAGCCGATGTGATAGGATTAAGATAACATTATAATGACGAAGCTGATGGGATAGCATTAATGTACAAAAATAACAGTATAATATCACAGCCGGTGGGATAGGATTAAGATAACATTATAATGACGAAGCTGATGGGATAGCATTAATGTACAAAAATAACAGTATAATATCACAGCCGATGTGATAGGATTAAGATAACATTATAATGACGAAGCTGATGGGATAGCATTAATGTACAAAAATAACAGTATAATATCACAGCCGATGTGATAGGATTAAGATAACATTATAATGACGAAGCTGATGGGATAGCATTAATGTACAAAAATAACAGTATAATATCACAGCCGGTGGGATAGGATTAAGATAACATTATAATGACGAAGCTGATGGGATAGCATTAATGTACAAAAATAACAGTATAATATCACAGCCGATGTGATAGGATTAAGATAACATTATAATGACGAAGCTGATGGGATAGCATTAATGTACAAAAATAACAGTATAATATCACAGCCGATGTGATAGGATTAAGATTACATTATAATGACGAAGCTGATGGGATAGCATTAATGTACAAAAATAACAGTATAATATCACAGCCGGTGGGATAGGATTAAGATAACATTATAATGACGAAGCTGATTGGATAGCATTAATGTACAAAAATAACAGTATAATATCACAGGCGGTGGGATAGGATTCAGATAACAGTATAATATCACAGCCGATGTGATAGGATTAAGATAACATTATAATGACGAAGCTGATTGGATAGCATTAATGTACAAAAATAACAGTATAATATCGCAGCCGGTGGGAAAGGATTAAGATAACATTATAATGACGAAGCTGATTGGATAGCATTAATGTACAAAAATAACAGTATAATATCACAGCCGGTGGGATAGGATTAAGATAACATTATAATGACGAAGCTGATGGGATAGCATTAATGTACAAAAATAACAGTATAATATCACAGCCGATGTGATAGGATTAAGATAACATTATAATGACGAAGCTGATGGGATAGCATTAATGTACAAAAATAACAGTATAATATCACAGCCGATGTGATAGGATTAAGATTACATTATAATGACGAAGCTGATGGGATAGCATTAATGTACAAAAATAACAGTATAATATCACAGCCGGTGGGATAGGATTAAGATAACATTATAATGACGAAGCTGATTGGATAGCATTAATGTACAAAAATAACAGTATAATATCACAGCCGGTGGGATAGGATTCAGATAACAGTATAATATCACAGCCGATGTGATAGGATTAAGATAACATTATAATGACGAAGCTGATGGGATAGCATTAATGTACAAAAATAACAGTATAATATCGCAGCCGGTGGGATAGGATTAAGATAACATTATAATGACGAAGCTGATTGGATAGCATTAATGTACAAAAATAACAGTATAATATCACAGCCGGTGGGATAGGATTCAGATAACAGTATAATATCACAGCCTATGTGATAGGATTAAGATAACATTATAATGACGAAGCTGATGGGATAGCATTAATGTACAAAAATAACAGTATAATATCACAGCCGATGTGATAGGATTAAGATAACATTATAATGACGAAGCTGATGGGATAGCATTAATGTACAAAAATAACAGTATAATATCACAGCCGGTGGGATAGGATTAAGATAACATTATAATGACGAAGCTGATGGGATAGCATTAATGTACAAAAATAACAGTATAATATCACAGCCGGTGGGATAGGATTAAGATAACATTATAATGACGAAGCTGATGGGATAGCATTAATGTACAAAAATAACAGTATAATATCACAGCCGATGTGATAGGATTAAGATAACATTATAATGAAGAAGCCAATGAGAGTACCAGGAGAGGATTACTTAAGTACTTTGAAGGTGTAGTGCTGACAAGGATCCAGGTTTTAGACAGGTAGTGAGGTTTAGTGATGATGAACATCACGGTACAATTGTTTGACTGGTGACATGTAACGTTCCTCGACTAATGGATGGGGTTACAGATTCATGGGTGTTTCTTCCTTTGCTTCCAGGGATGGTGGATCAGATTGTGAACCTGAAATTGCCGAGACATTCCTTAACTCGGTTTTGGCTGAGGTCCCATCACGAGGTAAGAGTGACGCTAGTGCTTATATCAAGTCCTCTGGTTTAGTACCATGTATAATGTAGTTTTAAATTTAACAAATGTTATATTTGGATAAAACTTTCTTAGCTAAGTACAGATTCTTGTATTTTATATTTTTATTGGTTGAGTCTGTCCGGGGTCCGGAGATTCACCAGAGTGAGGCACCAAAATCACCAGCATACAAAGTCAGCGATCTAACCCACTCAGCCATCGCTGCTTTCAAGAATGAAAGTCTGACAGCTGGTTGTCCCCCACCCCCCCAAAAAATGGCATTGTGTGTTCATAGCTTTCGGCCATGGGAGTGTTGCCAATATATACTTGTCAGAGGGGTACACAAAGTATGTGATCTAGACTACCAGTTGTCGTACTTTCATTTTTGAAAGCATGGATGACTGAGTCGGTTAGATCGCTGACTTTGTGTGCTGGTGATTAGGTGCCTCACTCTGGCGATTATTTCCCCCCCCCCAAAAAAAAAAAGTATGAGAATCTGTACTTTCCTGAGACAAATTTAACATTTGTTACATTTAACCACTTAATAAATGGCATTGTGTTCGTAGTTTTAATTTAACAACTAGCACAGCTGTCATGATAAAATTCTTTGATTGTTATTTCTGAACTTTCAGGTACATTTGATCTGCGGAGTGTGTTGAAGTCAGTCTACTTCTTCAGCTGAGAGCCTGGTGTTCCTCGTGCTGCTGTTGCTAGACAAGTATAGCCTCTACACCTCGACTGTGATATGACCAGGGGAAGTCGTGAAGCATCTCCTGCAATGTGCAGTAAATGAGTAGTGAGATCATTGGTTTACTGGCTTGTGTTGTCATGGAAACAAGGAAGAGTGGCTCTGTCTTGACACGTGACTTACAGGGGATCTGTGTTCTGTTTCCTTGGCTAGACCGCCTCCGTGGTCTAGTGGTAGAGTGTCCACCCGGAGAGTGGAAAGTCCGATGTTTGATTCCCGGCCGCATCATACCAAAAGACGTTAAAAGATGGTACTTGTTGTTACCGCTCGGCATTAAGGGGCTAAAACAGGACTGGTCGGCTCGGAGTCAGTATACTGTGTCTGAGTGGGGTATTCATGTTAAACTGCAGCATGGTTTCTCGGTGACCTAGCACTATAATTCAGCATCAGTCCGGACTTGTACAAGCAGCCACACAAACACACACACATACATGCAGGTCGCTATATAAGTGCAATAATCTTGGACGCGACGTTTAACCCCATTTCACCTCACCTCACCTGTTTCTGTGGCTACTCAGCAATGTGGATTGTATTCTGTTCTGTCAAAATTGGAGAAACACAGGACAGTCTTCTGTGATACAAGTTCAAAACCCCCCAGTGTGATTCAAATAGCATTCAGAATTCTGGATCCAGTGGACAAAATGGTCGACATTTGGGACCCACCACCATGAATCTTCGTCTCATGAAGGATGCTATCTTCCTCACAACAGGTTCAGAGTCTGCCCTTCATGAGAGTTGCATAATTGGTGTGTCAGAATCCTGGTTCGTCCTGATGATGTGTCTAGATTCGTCAGTACCAAACCAATGCTTGTGGGTTTCACCAAAAAGGCCAACATCTGAGACCTGCATCACTTCAGGTCTGAAATACTATTCGAAGCGGCATTAAACCCAACTCACTCATGCACTGATGCAGTGTACAGCCTGAAGCTGTGACGCATGAGAGGAATACAGACCCCTGAATGTTCTGCCGTGATCCAAGTGTCTGCTCAAATGTTGTTACCACACTGCCTGGTGTAGGACATCTGTGTTAGTTGTTGTCAAGTGTTCTAAATTGCGGAGTAGCTACCAAGGACCAAGGCTTGAGCGGACAAATGTGTGACCTGGGTGATAGTGTGCCATCATATTCCAACAGTGTGACACCTTCTCATGCTATTAATCACTGGTTTATCTGGCTCACACTATGACTGGAATATTGCAGACCGAGGAGTAAAACAATATTCACTCCCACACTCTCAATTTGCAAAAGTAATTATGTGCCTTTTTGCATTATGTACATGATTGAATGCAAATTTGTTAGAGGTGTGTGATCAAGTGTTGAAGTCGAATTTTCTACAAAAAGGATGAATGTGACATTTGTGTGCAATATCTGTATTTTAATTTGAGGATTGTAGAAAAAATGTTTTATTAATTGAATAAGAAAGTGAATGATGATGATTCTCCTGTCTTGTTTTGATTCCTTTCCGGCTCCCCTGACTTAAATGTCCTGGCGCATTGTCCGTCGTCCATTAGTGAGTTCAGCATACCCTTTGACACCACGGTTCTGTAACTTGTCATGGCTAATCCAAGATATGGTGTCTCTTAAATCTGCTCACAGAGTTCCAATCAGATTTTAAACATTGCCACCGTGGTAGACATATCGAAAATCTATATTACTCTGCCCTTTCCTGCTCGAATTGCCACCTGTGAAGATATGGGTTAGAATAGGTCTTCAACAATCCATGCTTGCCGCTCGCTGACTTGGTTGATGCATGTCATCATATCCCAATTCCGTAGATCAATGGAATCACTGGATTGTCTGGTCTGGACTCGATTATTTACAGACTGCTGTCGTATAGGTGGAATATTGCTGTGTGCGGCGTTAAACAAACAAACAAACTGATTGTATTACGGTGATTACTCAACCCTTGAAGATCTGGGGTACAATTGGTCTTCAGCAACCTATACTTGCCGTAAAAGGCGACTATGCTTGTCGTAAGAGGCGACTAACGGGATCAGGTGGTCAGGCTTGCTGACTTGGTTGATGCATGTCATCATATCCCAATTGCGTGGATGGATGCTCATGATCTGGTGCAGACTCGATTAATTACAGACGGCCGTCATATAGCTGGAATATTGCTGAGTGCAGCGCTAAACAACAAACAAACAAACTGCATGTATTACAGTGATTACTTGATATACCACTGCCAACATGGTCCAAGATCCGGACCCTGCGTTCTAGGAAATACTGAAATTGCTGATGATCAACACATCACTGTGATGGTAGTGAATGGCAACACATCACTGTGATGGTAGTGAATGGCAACACATCACTGTGATGGTAGTGAATGGCAACACATCACTGTGATGGTAGTGAATGGCAACACATCACTTTGATGGTAGTGAATGGCAACACATCACTGTGATGGTAGTGAATGGCAACACATCACTGTGATGGTAGTGAATGGCAACACATCACTGTGATGGTAGTGAATGGCAACACATCACTGTGATGGTAGTGAATGGCAACACATCACTGTGATGGTAGTGAATGGCAACACATCACTGTGATGGTAGTGAATGGCAACACATCACTGTGATGGTAGTGAATGGCAACACATCACTGTGATGGTAGTGAATGGCAACACATCACTGTGATGGTAGTGAATGGCAACACATCACTGTGATGGTAGTGAATGGCAACACATCACTTTGATGGTAGTGAATGGCAACACATCACTGTGATGGTAGTGAATGGCAACACATCACTGTGATGGTAGTGAATGGAGCGTAATTATTTCACAGTGACATGTACATGAATGTAGATCTATGTAACCTTGATCGTAGACGTGGATTCAAAATGTATGCGAAATTACATAAATAATGATAAGTGTAAATGAATCATAGTATTATTTTACGACTGGAGGTTATATGTATGGTAGCAAACTGTTGTTATATTCTGGTTTCTTGGAATAAACGTCCATTTGCCGAACTCACATTATCAAACGCCGAGCCTTGTAACCAAACGATTGTGAGACCAAAACTGTGATTGGTTAATATTTGATGAAGTTTCAGTGTCATGAAAAAGCAGGACACGGCCGGCTCATGTATGCACCTTTTGTACATGTACGTGTAAAATTTACACAACACCGTTATTTGAACAATTTTTGAAAATGAAACAAACACTAACGCATTTTTGAGTGGATGAGAGATACACTGTACATTTCTCTTAGATTTGCTTGTAGTGGTTGCCATGTTTGAAATGGCAAAGACTACTTACTTACTTACTTACTTACTTTGGAGATTTAACGTGCGCTTTCCGACTGATGCGTATTTCGCACACGGGCCCGGCCAGGCCATTTAATGTGTTTCCGAAAGGGGCGAAGGTGGTCTGTGCAACCCAAGAGGGGGGTTTTAGGGGTTGCTTATATAGAATTTGGGAATTTTGAGATTTGGAATAGATGCCGATGGGATTGGGGAGGAGAACTAAGGGAGCTGGGTATGGTGGATGTTTGTTTGTTTATGTGATTTTGATTTGGTGAGTTATTGTGTTTTTAGATGCGTTTTATTAGTTCCGTTTTGATTAAGAATACGCCTAAGGCCTTGAAGTTTTCTAGTTTATTTTGTGGGTTTAGTATTGCTTCTAGAGTTAGAGCCTTGTTTAGATTGAGGGTGGTTTGTAATGCGGTTCGATGTGTTAGGTAGTGTGTGCAGTGGATGAGTGCGTGTTCTGGGGTTTCTGGTTGTTTGCAGTGTGGGCAGTTACCTGTAGTGTGTTTTTTAATTTTTTTTAGGTGGTTATTTAGGTTGGTGTGTCCTGTTTGGAGTTTAGTGATTACTCTGTCGATTTTTTTGGATGGATGGAGAATTTTTGGTTTGGTTAGTGGTTTGCTGAGCACTTTTTTGATTTGGCTATTTGAGTTTAGATATAGGTTATGCCATTTTTTGGTGATTTTTTGCTTGTTTACACTTTTAATTTCTGATTTTGAGATGGGTAAGTTTAAGCTTATTTCTGGGATTTTGAGGGATAGTTTAGCTGCTTTATCGGCGTTTTCATTACCGTATATTCCTACGTGGGCGGGTATCCACAAGAAGGTTATTTGTTTGCCTGCCTTAGTTAGGTCGTTGGAGCTTTTAAGTATTCGATTTATTAATTTAGGTCGGTTTTTGGTATTTTTGTTTTGGAGGGCTTGCAGTCCACTTAGGGAGTCGGTAAGTATTAGGATTTTTTTGTGGTTTTTGGATTCTTGATTATGGAGGGCTGAGGCCATGCCCATTAGTTCTGCCGTGAATATTGATTGGTTGTTAGGGAGTCGGAAGGATTGTGTGGTTTTAGTTGGTTGTGTGGTATGGACTCCGAAACCTGTGTGTTTGGAGGTCGGATCTGAGGATCCGTCCGTGTAAATGTGACACCAATTTGGCCAATTTTCGTGTATGTATGCTAGTGTGGTAGTTTTAGCTATGTTTGGGTCGGTTTGTTTATTTATTTGGCTAGCTAGTGTTGTGTCTATTTTGGGTATTTTAAGTTTAGGGGTGAAGATATTTGATTGTTTGCAGTTTTGTTTAAGATTTTTAATTTGGTGTTCATTTAGGTAGTTTGTTATTCTTTGGGATATTGGGGTAAGTAAGGGGTGTTTACGAGCTAGAGCTTGGTTTTTGGGGCTGATGTTTTGGTTTATTAAGTTTTGGATGAGAGGGTTTGATTGGGACGCGGCCCAGAAATTTAAGCTTAGCTGTTCCCTGCGTAGACTTAGTGGCATTTCTCCTGTTAAGGCCTGAAGTGAGGTGTAGGAGGTGCCATGTTGGGTGCGTGTAATTAGTTTGAGAGCCTGATATTGTATTGAGTCAAGTTTTTTAGATAGAGAGTTGTTTAGGGTGTTGTATATGGCGCAGCCGTAGTCTAGTTTTGATCTAATTAGTGATATGTAGAGAGAGAGGAGGGTATCTTTGGATGCTCCCCAGTTAGAACCAGTTAGGCATCTTAGGGTGTTTAGGTCTTTACTGCATTTAGTTGTTAGGTTTTGGATGTGAGCATCCCAGGTGAGATGTTCATCGAAAATAAGTCCTAAGAATTTGGTTTGTTTTTGAAATTTGATTGTTTGATTGTTTAGCTGGAGGATTGGGGAGGCGGGTTTCATGTTTTTATGTTTGAATACTATTCCTGTTGTTTTTTCTGAGTTAAGGGAGAAGCCCCATTTGTCAGCCCACTGTTGTATTTTATTAAGAGATTTTTGGAGTAAATTTTGGACCATGTTCATGCTTTTAGTGCGGATCCAGATGGCTCCATCATCCGCGAATTTTGATGTGTTTACTTTAGGAGATAGGCCCTCGAATAGATCGTTTATCATTATATTGAAGAGGGTGGGGCTGAGGATACTGCCCTGTGGAGTACCATTTTCTAGGGGACATTGGTCCGATAGAGTTTGGTCTATACCCACGGTTATTTTACGATTGTTTAGGAAGTCCTGGATGTAGTTTATTATCTGACCTTTGAGTCCTATTTTTTTAAGTTTTTGTATTAGCCCATCGTGCCATACCATGTCGAAAGCTTTAGAGAAGTCTAAGAAGATGCCTGTGGTATATTGTTTATTTAGCTGTCCTGTCTTAATATCTTGTTCTAGTCGGGTGAGGTTATCTAGGGTTGAGCGGCCAGGAGTGAAACCGCTTTGATCTGGGTTTATGATGTTATTTTGGGTTAAGTAATGTTGTAATCTATTTTTAGCCATTGATTCCATTACTTTACATAAGTTTGAAGTTAGGGATATTGGTCTATATGAGTTAGCTTGATTAGCTGGTTTATTAGGTTTAGGGATTGGTATGACTAGGGCCTGTTTCCAGGGAGTAGGAACCTGTCCGTTTAGGTAGATGAGATTGTATAGTTTGAGTAGTGCCTGGAGTAGTTTTAGGGGGAGTTTTTTAATTATTTGGTAAGAAGTTAGGTCTAATCCTGGGGCTGTGCCCTTTTTCCTGTTTTGGATTACGTAGAGGAGCTCCTCCATTGTGTAGGGTTGATTTATTTCTAGATTGTTATTGTTTGGTTCTTTTGTGGGTTTGTTTTCTGTTTTAAGTTTATCTTGGAATTTTTTACTGAAGTTGGTGTTACTGCTAACGGCCGAAAAGTGGTTGGCGAGATTATTTGCTTTTTGGGCGGGGTTGGTTGAGCTGTCAATGTTAGGGGTTTTTTTATGTCGTTTTAAGCCTCTGATGGCGTGGATTTTGCGCCAGACCGTTCTGGCATCTGTACGGTTATTTATACCTTCGCAGAATTTTTTCCAGTCTCTACTTTTGGCTATTTGGACTAGTTTTTGAACCTGGTGGTTTAGTTCGTGGGCTATGTTTAAATATTTGTAGTCGCGTTTTGCTTTATTGAAGGCTGATTTACGTTTTCGTCTAGTCTGTTCTATTTCCTCATTCCACCATGGTACCGTCGGTTTGCCTGTCTTAGATGTTTTGAA